AAAAACCTCAAGGATGAGGATTCCGCTGTTAATTTTTGTGGAAAATCTGCTGGTACTGCAGATGGTGGTGATGTTGCTAATTAAGGTGATGATGATGGTTGTGTCCCCATCTCCGTGTCCCCCCCTGCCCCCGTTTCCCAGACCCTTCCCCCAAACCCCCAGCCCACACCCAGCCCTTGTCCATTGATCCCAACCTTGCTCTGCCTCGGCCCCAATTCTCATCCGCTGACCCCAAACCACAACTCCTGACCACAAATCTCCTCTTTGTGAGCCAAAACTTTGCTCTGAGGGTCGGGGTTTGAGGCCCAGGGTCCTGATCTGAGGCAAAGGTTGAGGATTCGGTAAGTGGCTGCTGCTGCAGGGAGCACAAGGTGGGGATTTGGGGCAGAATCAGTTTGGGGGTTTTGGCTCCGTGGTTGGTGGTGTTGGAAATGGGGGAGATCTGGGACAAAGGGTCAAGAATCTGGCAAAGGACTGAGATTTGGGAAAAGGTTCTGAGATTTGGGGACAAGAGGGGCTCAGACAAGGGCGCTTCCACCACCAGCACGGTCAATGTAAGTTGCAGCACCCAAGCAGCACCCACAGGTTTGGCACAGAAATAGGATCCGGAATCCTCGTCCTTGAGGTTGTTCATGGTCAGCATCACCGAGCTCTGCCCATTGTCCCTGGAGATCGTAAACTGGCCCTGCACTGACGGCGCATAGATGGCACTGGTACCATCGCTCCTGATCCATGCGACAAATTCCAGCCCCTGACCGTGTCTCTGGCGGATCCAGAACATGTCAGAGCTGCCGAAACTGAATCCGGACCCTCGGCAGAGGAGGCGCAGGGACTCCCCGTGGGGCTGGTGGTTCTCCCCGCACTCCAGCAGGGTCACGGCCGCCCGGAGCCCTGCTGGAACAAAGGAGAGATGGGGATGAGGTTAAAAATGCAGCCCAATGTTGATTCTTGCATGCAGATCCTGATGTTGGCCTCAAATTGTGGCACTTACTCCTCCTCCCCATCCTGCTGGCCCTCCCATGTGGGTCCAGGTCCCTTTTTGGATCTGGTCACCCCCAAGCCAGCCCACGCCCAGATCCGGCGCCTCATCCCCATCTCCCCTTTGTCCCACAGGGCTCCGGGCGGCCGTGACCCTCCTGGAGTGCGGGGGGGACCTCCAGCCCCCCGGGGGGTCCCTGCGCCTCCTCTGCCGAGGGGCTGGGTTAAGTTTCGGGAATTTTGGGATGGGCTGGATCCGCCAGAGACCCGGGCAGGGGCTGGAATGGTTCGCGGGGATCACCAACACTGCTGCAAACATCGGCTACGCGCCATCGGTAAAGGGCCGGTTCAGGATCTCCAGGGACAACGGGCAGAGCTCGGTGACGCTGACCATGAACAACCTCAAGGACGAGGATTCCGGATCCTATTTCTGTGCCAAGTGTGTTGATGATCGTGCTGGTTGGGAGAATGTTTCCTGTCGTTTTGTCCCCATCCCCATCGCTGTTTCCCCCATGTCCCCATTCCCCAGACCCTTCACCCAAACCCCAGCCTTGACCCCATTCCTTTCCCCGTGTCCAAGCTCTGAACAGGCTCTACCCCTGCTCTCAGCTCTTGGCCCCAAACCTCAGGTCTGGGCTCCACGTCCAAACCAAATTCCCCAAAACTGACAAGGATGTCCCAGATCCAGCCCCACTGTGTCAATCTGCCTTTGCTTTGTGTGATTGGCCACAAACCTCTCGCGGTGAGCTGCGCCATTGAGTTCTGTGTGTGCTGCCGGGGCCGTGAGCTGCCGGCACCTCCCCATGGCCACAGCCCGGTGAGGAGAGCGATGGTGGGAAACCAAACGGCTCCAGAGGGGTCCCCAAAGCCCCGGCCTGGTGGGAACTGGGAGAGAGACCTCCGGGCGGGGATAGGCCAAGGGCTGAGGATTGGGGGAATTGTTGGGGGTTTGGGGATAGCTGGGGACACTGAGATGGGGGCATGGATCCACCACTGGGGTCTTCACCATAAGCAGCAGGATCCCAAGCACCAGCATAATCAGATTTGGAACAGAAATAGGTGGCGGAATCCTCGTCCTTGAGGTTGTTCATGGTCAGCATCACCAACCTCTGCCCATTGTCCCTGGAGATCGTAAACCGGCCCTTGACCGATGGTGCGTAGTCGGTGTAAGCACCATCGTTCCTGATACCCGCGAGCCACTCCAGCCCCTGCCCGGGTCTCTGGCGCAACCACTGCATGCCAAAACTCCCGATATTGAACCCGGACCCTCGGCAGAGGAGGCGCAGGGACCCCCCGAGAGGCTGGAGTTCCCCCCCGCACTCCAGCAGGGGCACGGCCGCCCAGAGCCCTGCGGGACAAAGGGGAGATGGGGGTGAGGAACCTGATTGGTTGAAGGCTCCAAACTGTGTGTGGCCGGCTTGTAAAAGGGCTGGGACCCACCTGTGAGGAGGATGATGAACTCCAAGGGTCCCAATTAGGGGCCAAGGGTCAGGATTTGGGTCAAGGGTTGAGCTTTGGCCTCATCCCCAACTCCCTTCTGTCCCGCAGGGCTCCGGGCGGCTCCAGGCTGCTGGAGTGCGGGGGGGATCTCCAGCCCCCTGGGGGGTCCCTGACAATGCGGTGCCGAGGTTCCGGGTTCAGTTTCGGGAGTTTTGAAATGGATTGGGTTCGACAGAGACCTGGAAAGGGGCTGGAGTGGGTCGGAAGTATCAGCAGCAGAGGTGGCACCTGGTACGCGCCGTCGGTCAAGGGCCGGTTCAGGATATCCAGGGACAACGGGCAGAGCTCGGTGACGCTGACCATGAACAATCTCAAGGACGAGGATTCCGCCACCTATTTCTGTGCCAAAACCACTGCTTCTGGATATGTTAATCCTGGTTATGTTATTGGCCCCGTCCCCATCTCTGCATCCCTACCTGTCCCCATTCCCCAGACCCTTCGGCCATACCCCAACCCCTGACCCTATTTCCTCACCCTCTGTCCCAGCCCTGGTCCGGCTCTGCCCCAAATGTCCCCTCTGGGCCACACTCAGTGCTCTCGTTCCTCAAATTACATTTAATTTTTCAAAATTTCTGGCCAAACTTAAGGTCAGGAGTCAAAAATCCAAATTTTGACCTGAAATTCCTGATGTGTGGCTAATGGGCAGGATTTGGGTCGGTGGCTGTGACTCGGTGCCAGCAGGGGAGATTTGGGTTAAAATTCGACAAGTCTGGGGGCAATGGTTGGGATTGGAGGTACGAGGCGGAGCTCAGGGTGAAACCGGCACTGATTTGGGGCCGGGAGCCGAGATTTGGGGCCAGGAGCTGGGATTTGGGGCCAGGAGCTGAGATGTGGGTTCAGAGCAGGGCAAAGTTGAGACAAAGGACCGGAGTCGGGTCAGAGTTTGGTGGGAAGGGTCTGGGGAACAGGGACAGGCGCGTCCCAATAGCTGGCCAATAGCACAGACATTATAACCACCACCAGCAGCAGCATCAGATTTGGCACAGAAATAGGATCCGGAATCCTCGTCCTTGAGGTTGTTCATGGTCAGCGTCACCGGGCTCTGCCCGTTGTCCCTGGATATCCTGAACCAGCCCTGGACCGATGACGCGTACATGGAGCTCCAGCCCTCCTTCCTGATGCTCCCGACCCAATCCAGCCTCTGCCCAGGTCTCTGGCGGACCCAGAACATGGTGATTCCGCCGACATCAGACCCGGACCCTCGGCAGAGGAGGCGCAGGGACTCCCTGGGGGGTTGGAGGTCCCCCCCGCACTCCAGCAGGGTCACGGCCGCCCGGAGCCCTGCGAGACAAAGGGGAGATGGGGATGAGGGAACGAATCCACCCAAATGTTGATTCTTGCATGCAGATCCTGATGTTGGCCCCAAATTGTGGCACATTCCCCTCCTCCCGATAATGCCGGCCCTCCCAGGTGGGTTCAGGACTTTTTTTGGATCTGGTAACCTCCAGCCCACACCACGCCAGGATCCAGGGTCTCGCCCCCATCTCCCCTTTGTCCCGCGGGTCTCCGGGTGGCCGTGACCCTGCTGGAGTGCAGGGGGACCTCCAGCCCCCCGGGGGCTCCCTGCGCCTCCTCTGCTGAGGGTCCGAGTCTGATTTCGGCAGTTTTGGGATGGGCTGGTATCGACAGACACCAAGAAATGCACTGGAGTACGTCGCAGCCATCAGCAATGGTGGCGTCACCGGCTACGCGCAGTCGGTCAAGGGCCGGTTCACGATCTCCAGGAACAACGGGCAGAGCTCGGTGACGCTGACCATGAACAACCTCAAAGATGACGATTCCGCCACCTATTTCTGTGTGAAATCTCCCAACACCGGTGGTGCTTATGGTGCTGCTTATATTGGCGGTTCTCATACTGTCCCCCTCCCCATTCCATCTCCAAGTCTCCCCTCTCCCCCTTCCCCAGCTCCCAGCCCCTGACCCAGCCTGTGACAATTTCCCCATTTCCCTTTCCCCTCTCCAACCCCAAACCCCAACCCTTGGCCATTGATCTTCCCCCAAACTCTGCCCCAAAGGTCAGCGCTGGGTCAGGGGCTGCGGACACGAATTCAGTCACCGAGAGCGGGGACGAGGGCCGGGATTTGGGGGATGGTCTGGGCTTTGGGGACAGGTGGGGACACAGGCACAGGGACCGGGCCAATACCAGAGCCAATATTAGCACCAGCTTTATTAGAAGCACCCCTGGCACAGAAATAGGTTCCGGAATCCTCGTCCTTGAGGTTGTTTATGGTCAGTGTCACCGAGCTCTGCCCGTTGTCCCTGGAGATCCTGAAACGGCCCTGCACCGATGGCGTGTAGGAGGTGTAAGCACCACTGCTGTGGATCGCTGTGAGCCACTCCAGCCCCTCTCCAGGTCTCTGGCGGACCCAGTACAGATAAAAATCCCCAAAACTGAACCCGGCCCCTCGGCAGAGGAGGCGCAGGGACCCCCCGGGGGGCTGGAGGTGCCCCCTGCACTCCAGCAGGGTCACAGCCGCCTGGAGCCCTGCGGGAAAAAGGGGAGAAGGGGATGAGGCCAAAGCTCAACCCTTGACCGCAATATTCTTTATATTGGCCCGAAATTGGGACCCTTGGATTTCATCATCCTCGTCCTTCTGCTCCTGCTGGCCCTCCACGGGGGGTCTCATCCCTTTTTCCAACTGGCCACACCCACTGCAGGCCCACAGCCAATCAGGTTTCCAATCCCCAGCTCTCCATTATTCTGCAGGGCTCCAGGTGGCCGTGACCCTGCTGGAGTGCGGGGGGAACCTCCAGCCCCCCGGGGGTTCCCTGACGTTGTTGTGCCGAGGGTCCAGGTTGATGTCGGCGGTTGCACCATGTTCTGGATCCGCCAGAGACCCGGGCAGGGGCTAGAGTGGGTGGCAGCGATCTAGAGTGATGGCAGCACCATGTACGCCTCATCAGTGCAGGTTCGGTTCACGATCTCGAGGGAGAAGGGCAGAGCTCGGTGACACTGACCATGAACAACCTCAAGGACGAGGATTCCGGATCCTATTTCTGTGCCAAATGTTTTGATGCTGGTTGCTATGATGGTGCTGCTGGTGCTGAACATTTTGACCCCACCCCCATCCCCATGTCCCCCCAGTCCCCGTTCCCCAGACCCTTCCCCCAAACCCCCAGCCCACACCCAGCCCTTGTCCATTGATCCCAACCTTGCTCTGCCTCGGCCCCAATTCTCACCCGCTGACCCCAAACCACAACTCCTGACACCAAATCTCTTCTTTGTGCCCCAAAACTTGGCTCTGAAGGTCGGGGTTTGAGGCCCAGGGTCCCAATTTGGGTCAGAATTGGGGATTTGTGTCAGTGGTGGCTGCTCGGGGCCAGCAGCGCAGATTTGGGCAGAGTTGGGCGAGTTCAGCCCAGCGATCCTGGCAGAGGGGCCGGGTCCAGCCCAGGAGGCAAACTGGCCCCGAATGGGCCCCGAGCTGAGGTGGGGCCAGGAGCTGAGAATGTGGGGCAGGGCAAGGGCGGGGTTGGGGCACGGGGACAGGAATGGGGTCAGGGGCTGGGGATTTGGGGGAAGGGTCACTGTGGAGATAGTTGGTGACCATCATGGTGGTGGGAACACTGACGGTGCTTCTGCCAATTTCAGCAGCACTCTGAGAACCGTAACTACTACTGGCACGTTTTGTGCAGAAATAAATGGCGGAATCCTCGTCCTTGAGGTTGTTCATTGTCAGCGTCACCGAGCTCTGCCCGTTGTCCGTGGAGATCGTGAACCGGCCCTTGACCAACGGCGCGTAGCCGGTGCCGCCACCACTGCTGCTGATGCTGGCGATGTATTCCAGTGTCTTTTTGGGTCTCTGACGGATCCAGATAATTCCAAAATTCCCGAAATCAAACCCAGATGCGTGGCACAGCAGCGTCAGGGACCCCCCGGGGGGCTGGAGGTCCCCCCCACACTCCAGCAGGGTCACGGCCGCCCGGAGCCCTGCGGGACAAAGGGGAGATGTTGATGAGGCCAAAGCTCAACACTTGACCCAAATCCTGACTCTTGGCTACAAATTGGGACCCCTGGAGTTCATTATCCTCCTCCCAGGTGGGTCCCTTCACGTTTTCCAGCTGGCCACACCTACTTGAAGGCTCTTAACAAGTCCGACATCTCATCACCATCTCCCCTTTGTCCCGCAGGGCTCTGGGCTGCCTTGACCCTGCTGGAGTCCAGGGGGGACCTCCAGCCCCCCGGGGGGTCCCTACGCCTCCTCTGTCGACGGTCCGGGTTCGATTTCGAGAAATTTGGGATTGGCTGGGTCCGCCAGAGACCCGGGCAGCGGCTGGAATTGGTCGCAAGGATCAGTCGAAGAAGTGGCACCTGGTATGCAGATTCGGTCAAGGGTCGGTTCATGATGGCGAGTGACGAGGCATAGAGGTCGGTGACGCTGACAATGAACAACCTCAAGAACGAGGATTCTGGATCCTATTTCTGTGCAAAAACTGATTATGATGGTTGGAATATTGGTGCTGGATATGTTTACAATGCCTGTGCTGACCCCATCCCCATCTCCAAATTTCTCCCCGTCCCCATTCCCCAGACCCTTCCCCCAAAACCCCCAGCCCACACCCAGCCCTTGACCATTGATCCCAACCTTGCTCTTCCTCGGCCCCAGTTCTCACCCGCTGACCCCAAACCACAAATCCTGACTCCATATCTCTTCTTTGTGCCACAAAACTTTGCTCTGAAGGTCGGGGTTTGAGGCCCAGCGCCCCAATTTGGGTCAGAATTTGGGATTTGTGTTAGTGGTGGCTGCTCTGGGGCAGCAGCGCAGATTTGGGCAGAGTTGGGCGAGTTCAGCCCAGGGATCCTGGCAGAGGGTCCCGGTCCAGCCCAGGAGCCAAAATGGCCCCGAGTGGGCCTGAGCTGAGGTGTGGGGCCAGGAGCTGAGAATGTGGGGCAGAGGCAGAGCAGGGTTGGGGCATGGGGACAGGAATGGGGTCAGGGCAGGGGTTTGGGAAAAGGGTCTGGGGAGCGGGGACAGGGGAGACCCTGTGGACAGAGATAGGGTAAAACGATAAGCAGCAGCCTGATTATAGTAAGCACTATGAGCATTCTTGGCACAGAAATAGGATCCGGAATCCTCGTCCTTGAGGTTTTTCATGGTCAGCATCACCGAGCTCTGCCCGTTGTCCCTGGAGATCCTGAACCGGCCCTTGACCAATGGCGCGTAGTAAATGTTGGAACCATCACTCCTGATGTACGCGACCCATTCCAGCCCCTTCCCGGGTCTCTGGCGGACCCATTGCATGGCGAAACTGCCAAAACTGAACCCGGCCCCTCGGCAGAGGAGGCACAGGGACCCCCCGGGGGGCTGGAGGTGACCCCCCCACTCCAGCAGGGTCACGGCCGCTCCCCCATCCCCAAACCTTCACTGGCTTTGCCCCAAATTCCGTTTGTCTGGCCCCAAATCTCCAAGAGAGATGCCCAGTATTATACAGTGCCTTCAAGCCTCCAATTGACCCCAATCTGCTGGATTCTCGGCTGTTTAGATGGCCTGGAAAGGCCCGGGGTAGCCTTGGACAGCCCGCGCTTCAAAGGACGAGAAGGGACTTCAGATCTTTTCTCGGTCTCGGTGTTTATTATTGTTTATCTTTAAGATTTTCCCTCTGTCCGACAGAGGTCTGCTCAGCAGTCAGCCATGAGCACACACTAAGAGCCTCTGGGGCGGTCACCTATCTTTATACTCGAAGTTACGTATACAATATTTATCACTTTTCCCCAAACCTTCTATCCTTATTAACCAGTGCACTTTTAGTAATAACCAATCCGAATGTGCCAACATCACCACAGAAGATGGAGGCCAAGAAGAAGAAGAAGAAGAACAGGACACGCCCCAATTCCTCCATCTTTCTTCTTTAGACCCCCCTGTACAGAAATCTTAAACCCTGTATCTCACACTCCAATTAACCTATCCCTTCACCATTTACCCCGGTGAAATCCTCCCGTCCTCACACAGGCGTCGTCTCCCATGCAGGATCAAAGTCCAGCCACCAGACACTTCTGGCGACATTCCAGGACCCCCGAGCCCCCTAAGGGTGGTCTCGGTCACTCTGCCCCTCAGTCCTGAGGCGCTGAAATCCCACACCAGTGGTTCATGTCAGAGGTTTGTTAGGGAAGACCGTGTGGATTAATCCTGCCTCAAATGCAGACAAACCCATTCGTGGGGTTGTCTTTGCTCAGCAAACCGGTTGCACGTGGTGGGTAATGCAAAAAGATGGAAGGACACGGTGTTGTTGTTCAGGGAGATCTGATTGTGGGGTGAGAATGATTTGGAAATGTCACCGTTCGTTGGGTGTTGCTGCCGTTGTCTGTACATCAAAGGACACAGACATGAGATAGAGGGAAATGTGTAAGGGGGATTTGAGGGGGATTCCGGGCATTTTGGGGGGAAATTCGGGGGTTTTGGGGGGATTTGGGGCATTTTGGAGAATTGGGGGGCAGGGATTTTGGGGGAATTTGGTGATTTTGGGGGGGATTTTAGCCAATTTTGGGGGGGGAATTGGGATTTTTCGGGGGGAATTTTGGGGGGATTTTGGGGGGAAATTTTGTGATTTTGGGGGATTTTAGCGAATTTTGGGGGGGATTTGGGATTTTTTGGGGGATTTTGGGGGGATTTTGGGGGGAAATTTGGTGGAATTTGGTGATTTTGGGGGGGATTTTAGCGAATTTTGGGGGGGATTTGGGATTTTTTGAGGGGGATTTTGGGGAGAAATTTGGGGGAATTTGGTGATTTTGGGGGGATTTTACCGAATTTTGGGGGGGAATTGGGATTTTTCGGGGGGAATTCTGGGGGGGATTTTGGGGAAATTTGGGGGAATTTGGTGATTTTGGGGGGGATTTTAGCGAATTTTGGAGGGGAATTGGGATTTTCCGGGGGGGATTTTGGGGGGAAATTTGGGGGGAAATTTGGGGGAATTTGGTGATTTTGGGGGGATTTCAGCGAATTTTGGGGGGGGATTTGGGATTTTTTTGAGGGGGATTTTGGGGGGATTTTGGGGGGAAATTTGAGGGAATTTGGTGATTTTGGGGGGGATTTTAGCAAATTTTAGGGGGGGATTTGGGATTTTTTGTGGGGGATTTTGGGGGGAAATTTGGGGGGAAATTTGGGATATTGGGGGAATTTTGAATTTTGGGGGCATTTGGGAGGGGGTTTTGGGGGGCGTTTGGGGTTTTTTTGGAGCGTTTTGGGATTTATGAGGGAGATCTGGAGATTTTTAGGGGGTCCCAGGAGTCTTTTGGGGGGTCTTGAGGGGGAATTTCGGGGGATTTTGGCAGATTTGGGGTCCTGAGCAGTTTTTGGGTGATTTTGGGGGATTGTTTTGGGGGGGCCCAGAAGATTTTGGGGAGGTTTGGGGATTTTGAGGGGGTCCCAGGAGGATTTTGGGTGGATTTTGTGGGTTCTGAGTGGGATTTTGGGGGGTCCTGAAAGGGATTTTGGGATTTTGGGGTCATGGAAGGGATTTTGGGGCGGTTTTGGGGTCTCTGAGGGAATTTTTGGGGGCATTTTGTGGCGATTTGGGTCTCTGAGGGGATTTTGGGGCAAATTTGGGTGTTCTGAGTGGATTTTGGGGTCTTGAAAGGAATTTTTTTGTCATTTGAAGTTTCTGGGGGGATTTTGGAGTCCTGGAAGTGATTTGGGGATTTTTTTTTGGGTGGTCTCTGAGGGGATTTTTGGGGCGATTTTGGGGCTCTGAAGGGATTTTTGGGGATTTTGGATTTCTGAGGGGATTTTGGAGCTCTGAGAGCATTTTGGGCGAATTTTGGGGTTTCTGAAGAGATTTTAAGGGGAATTTGGGATTCTGAGGGCATTTTTGGACTCCTGGAAGAGATTTTGGGGCGATTTTGTGAGTTCTGAGGGGATTTTAAGTGTCCTTAAAGGGATTTTGGGGCGATTTTCGGGGGGTTTGGGGGCGCCCTCAGTGAATTCGCGGCCGTGTCTCGGGGATCCCTGCCTCTGATTGGTTCCCCGGGGCGCCTCCGGACCAATCAGAAGCCGTCGCTGGGCAGATTTTCCCTTCCAAGGGCGCTCTTCCCGCGCACAGGCGCTGATTGGTCGCCGCCCTTTTATCTCGACCAATCAGCGGCCGCTGTTGAGGAGGAGGCGGGAAACGGCGGATTTGGGTTTATTTTAATTAATTTTTAAATTATAATTAATTGATTTGGGATTTTATCGCTATTTTGATTACTTTTTTTGGCGTTTGGTTTGTTAAGTTTAATTGGAATCAATTGCAGTTTTATTTCATTTAATTGGGGTTTGTTTAGTGTAATTAAATTAATTTCAAGTAATATAAACTTATTTTAAATTAGGACAAATTTTAATTTTTCTAATTATTTATTTCAATTAATATCAATTTATAATTTTTCAAATAAAAGTATTATTTCAATTAATGAAAGCTTATTAATATGTTTTATTCGTTTAAAAAATAAAAATGTATTAATTTTATGAATAAACAATTATAAATTTTCTCTATCAATAAAAACCTATAAATGTATTTTATTGTTTCAAATTAATATACATTTATAAATGTTTGAATTAAAAATTTACTTCAATTACTAAAGCCAATTAATTTATTGCATTAATTTCCATTACTATGAGTTGATACATTTTATAAATAAAAACTATAAATTTTAAATTAATAGATATAACAATTTAGTCTATTTATTCTGATTATCATAAATTAATAAATTCTACCAATATAAATTTTTATTATTATTTATTAAAAATCTAAACATGGTTATAAATTAATTTTTATCAATATCAATTTTCTAATAATTCAATTTCCTATAAATTTATTTTTAATTTTTTATAATAATAAATAATTTATAAGAAATAAAATTTAAATAAGAATAAAATCGAATTAAATTAAATTAAATTAAATTAAATTAAATTCCTCTTCTTGTATTTTATCAAATTTTGGGATTTAATTC